TGAATGTCTTACTCCAGATAGATACAGAGAGAGTTCACTGTCCATGACCAGTTAAATTCCGTTCATCCTTATCCATGATGATCACTACTTACTATAGCATGATCCCAATGTGGTTCATAGTGACCTCCTATACCATAGTTTGCAACCTGAGAATAAATTAAAACTCCGATGAAACAAGAACGTACTAACAAGAGATTCAAGAGAGCATATGAGAATTGAGAAGCGAGAGTTTGCATGAGAGTTTTCTAAACTCTCATGCCCAAGTCAAACGAAAACAGGAATTGTAAGAGAGTTGATGGCAGTTTTGGCTAGATATTACCGGTCATAAATTCGTCACCTTTCATAAAGATTTGAACCAGCGCAGCTGAAAGTTCGGATGAGAGAGTGCATGAGAATTTGCGGTTAAACGCGAACGATAGTTGCAACTGCCATCAACTATCGTCAACTCTCATCCTGATTTAACCCGGGCTCAACAGTTTAGTTTTGGTTGAGTTGATTTCTGGTTTTAAAAACAAAGTCATGAGGTAAACAAGGTCATGAGGTATTTCAAGTTCTGAAATACCCAAATTACCTGCATTTCTTCAGCAGCTTGAAAACTGGCATCTAAACCGGTCAAACTGGAAATTCTTGTACTAATACGATGTACCACCTCACTCTCGTGATCCTCCAACCAAGCCCTGTCAAAATAGAGGGGGAAACATGTCAAGATTTTCGTGTAAAAATTGCTAATACTTATTTGAATGCGAATAAAGATCATCGTATTCTGTCAAATCCCATCGAAAATATGGGTGTGGAAGCAGAAATATTCCACGTTTTTTTAATTATACGATAAATATTCCTTATTCCAAATTATTTTTACTGAGATACGACCGTATTCCAAAAGCTCACTCACACTTAAAAAGTGGAGGTTCAATCTGAGCTTCCCTTGAGTGTCAGTGCTGTTTTCGAATAGCTGGAGGGTGAGTAGTCACATAGTAAGGTACGAGACTAACCCTCCAGCTATTCAAAAACAACATATTGACACTCAAGAGAAGCTCAGATTGAGCCTCCACTCATTGAGTGTAAGTGAGCTTTTAGAATACAGACGATAATCTTTATTCTGCGTTTTGTATATTCTCTGTTCTTCTAACAAAGCAGCCAATATTTCGCATAATATTTATCGTGAAGGGATTTGCAGATGAAAGTTCGAGTGGAATTTTTGTACATTTATTAGACATCACCATGAACAGTTGCGAAAATTAATGCAGCTATATAGACCCTCTGGCAGGAATCGAATCTGCGGCCCTGCGATTCCGGTGCAGCGCTCTAACCAACTGAGCTACGCCTACAGAGCAGTGAGCTCCATATATATCTGGAGTAGGAACTTGGTTGCCCAAAGTGAAGCCAGTTTCGTGTTAACCGCGCATACAAAAACAATAGAAAGGGACTGGAACTGACGTCCAAGAGCTCCTTCAATTTCCGCCATCTTGGCAAGGAGTGTGTTGAAATTTCGTATTTTGA